AGTTGCTTCCGATTCTGACTATTCCAATTAATATGTAATATATACTGTGTATATGTGTATTAATATTTATTACACATTAATATATATATTATATTTATTATTAAATAAATATCAACGTATTTGTCTTTCTGTATGTATTTGTTAATATAAAAGAACTATGTTTATAGATTTTTTTTGCAATTTATTTAAATAAGTTAATTGGAATAATAAATTTAAATACACATCAATAATTATCAATAAAGTGGTATAATTTTAATTAGTTTAATAATACAGTAAAAAATACTATTAATGTTAGGGAATAATACACAATAATGCATAACCATTAAAACTCCATATTTTTGGTATCAACACAATGAATAATGAATGAGTGAATTGTGGCTCAAATCAAGTTAACATTTAACAAGATGATTAAAATTTTATTTTTGACACATTTGATTAATTGATAATAATTAAAGATAAATTAATTAACCTTAAATACTAAATGCAAAAATGAAAGATATATATTTTTTATTTTATTTTTATTTGTTTTGTTTTGTTGTAAAATAAAATTGTTAATAATATTTGTGACTTTACCGATTACTTTCAAGGTTTAATTTGTAGCTTTTAATGACTATTTTTTCATATTATTAATATTTTTGTGTTATATATAAATACTCTTGTATTTGTCTTCAACTGAAGTTTATATATAGGAAATCTGTAAATAATATTAAATAATAATATATAACTTCAGGTTTCGCCTTTTGCCAATCACAATATGTAATACATTTATTATTGTTTGTTTTTGTTCCTTTTCAATTGTTTATTGTTTTGTTAATAAATTCTCTTTATTTTTTATTTAATATCACTTGCAACTACTCGACTATATGTTTCCTTTGTTCTACTAACAATCGTTCATATATATTAACTTTGTTATAGGTACAATCTATTATAAATTTCGGCACCAACAGTTCTGAATTACTTCTAATAGACTTGTCATTAAATCATAGTAATAGGAAAAACAAATGGTTTTTTTTTAAATAAAATTTTTAAAGATTTACAGATACATCCCAGTCCCACTTTATAGTTTTAAATGGAAATGGACCAACAGTTATATTGAAAATAATAATAATAATTAAAAATTTTTTATTCAAAATTAAATAAAAATTAGAGTTGTGGCCAAAAGTATTTTAAAATCCAAAAGGCATTTCAATAAAAAACAGGATTACATCCATTAGCATTCTAGAATGCTAGTAGGTATATGTCCAGCTCTTTAAGACCATATATCAGCAATGACTATTCTATTCTATTCGTCAAGTATATACAATAATTGGCATAATACACAAAAACAAATATTTACGAAATGGAGTCTATGGTAGACAGAATAGTTTAAAAATATTTATTTGTAGTGATGCCACACCCAACTACTAGTAATTACCTACGTTGGTAACGAAGATGCTTAACTGTTACATTTGTCTGCTAGTTAGATTCTTCACCAACGTACTGTTTCCAGCCCATCAAATGATTTTTATATCCACAAAATGCATTCCTTTCAAAGGCAAATGCCATCCGGTACCAGATCAGGTAAATACAGAGAATAATTAATAGTTGAAAATGAGTTTTGAACCAAAGCACCTGTCATAATGAGCTGTGAGAATCACCACCATATAATTGGTCTATCAGTTGAAACGTATCGGTGAAAGTTTTACCGAGTTCAAGACAAGACTTGATATTTACTCACATATACTTCAGATGCAAAACCTATGTCGTAAGAATGTCAACAAATGTTGGCAGAACATCATTGAAGAAGACACCTGAACAACACTTCATGTGTATTGCCAATAGGTAGCGTCATTACAAAATACTTATTTTAAAAAAGTTATATTTACTTCAAACCACTTTATAATTCTGACTGGGAGTAAGAAGTTTCAGAATAAAAATTGATTTTTATCATCGATTTATATATTTATAAACCTTTTTATAATATAATTTAATTATATATATTCAAACACTACAAATCGAAAAAGGCATCAAATAGTTGGAAGTACACATATATCTGCACACACTAAATAGTTGGATAAACATATGTGAATATAGCGAAATATCCATATAACTATTCGACTATGTGCACTATTAGAATATAGCGAAAAACCTGAATCAGCTCTTTCACTACTTCAACTGCTCATCCAGACTATTTGGTTAGACTCATATATTTGAACTATTTTCTCATATCCGTTTAAACCAACTAATTACTCATATCCATTCATACAGACTATTTGCTCTATCCATATATATGAACCATTTGCTCATATCCGTATATTCTGATTGGATATAATATTTGAAGAATTAAAAACATAGCCACACTTTCTATAATTTGAAATCTTCGAATATTAGGGATATGTGAAAAAATTTGAATACTTAGACTATTTAAAAAACTCCAAGTATTCTGACAGTTTGAAATATCCGAATATTTGGATTATTTGAAAGAATCAGTATTTTTGGACAATTAGACAATATACGACTCAAATTATCGGAATATTTGGACTATGATGGGTTTCAAAGTATACTTTTATTTATTCTTCTGTATAACTTATTATCAGTATTCAACGGAGTGGTCCAAAAACTATTGAGTAAAAGTGCTTTAGACACTAAGTCGCGTTTCATCAAGCACAGAATAAGTAGAAGCCTCTGAATGCGGAAAACACTTGATTAAATAAAACCAATTAGAATTTTGCAAATAGATAAAAACAATGAGTAGGCAATATTTCAAAATTTGGCTGGAAACACTTATTAATATATGCAATGCAAGTCACTTAATAATTTATGGATTCATTTTAAATTCAACATTTTTATATGATTTCTCCATTAGAGTTTTTTTGTGCATTATTAACAATTAATTTAATAAATTTTTTCATTTCAATATATTAAATAATTTCTATTTATATTATTATATATATAGTTTTTTTTATTGAATGTTTATATATATGTATTTATATATAAATTCTTTTTAATAAATATTCTTTTATAGTAGTAAAATAGCAGTTTATTTGTTACATCAGCAATACTCATTCATACATAAATGTATATACATACAAAAGATTTATATATATGTATATAATTATATTATTTATATATAGTTAGTTAACGTTATTATGCGTAAATAATAATAAAAATTTTAACTAGCATTAATTAGGCATTTTATACTAAAATTTTATTCTATGCTATGATTTCATTTCAAGACATGTGCGTTACTAGAATATATCCTGCCCGATCCTCGTTTATTAATAATCATTTAATGATTCTCTCTAAGGAATTAGCATGGTCTGCTTTTATATCAAATAAACATTTCTTTTATGTAAATTATTATTTATTCATTTATTGTAATAATTATTGCATTTGGAAAAAAAAACGGTGCTAAAAAGCTTTGAGTATATTTATTGCGTCTTTACTGCTCTTTAAGTCTATACTTTGTACGTTCTACAAGCTTTGTCTAAAAATATCGTTCTTACTCTCTACTACTAGCAAACATTTTGGAAAACCTTAGCATAGAATATTTTATTTTTTATAATCTTTTATTTTATAATAAAATATGTATTACAATTTGTTTTTTCGTTTGTATTTGTTTTTGTTTTAAACAATATATAATTTGTTACTTGGCACTGATAAATTGGTAGGAAAGGTCTATATATATATTACCAGCAAAAGATATTGTACTGATGGATTGTTATTAATTGCAAGAGCTAGCCAGGGTGCAGTGGCTGCGGATAAGTTCTGTTCGTCTACGGATTTTTCCAATGGTGAGTTTATTGGAATATGAGCACTGTGTCACATCTCATAACATGTTCACATGTCAACAGTGTAAATATCCATTTTGTATCAAACGAATATTTGTAATTTGCTTTCAAATTAAAAAAATTATAATTCTCATATAGTTTGCATATGTCTTCATACTTTATGATACCTACTCTTATCATTTTGAAACAAATTAGAAAACTATTAACTATTATTTATAGTTGATGGAAATGATTGTATTTTAAGTATGGACATTTGTATTCACGGAATAATTTGAACAACAAATAACTCGAATAATACGAACACTAGAATCCATTTACGTAAGATGGATAAGTATACAGTCATGTCTAATTTAACTTTCTGAATGGTTCCTTGTGTCTGCTATGTATTGGAACGGGAATTTTTTTAAAAAACTTTTAGTTCAGCATATCACAAAAAAGATTGAGAAACACTGCAAAAGTATGTTAAAATAATAATTTGACAAAATCCACAGCATCACGGTTATGAAGTGGTTTTATCAACCACTCTTTAAGAACTAAGCTAGTCTGTTAAAAATTTTTTCTTATCCTTATTATATTTTTAGTGCAGCTAGCTAGCACTTTGAATGCGACATTTTTAATGTATAAAATAATTACTTCAGTGTATGATGTTTAGGATTTTTTTTTAAGAAAAAAAAAAAATAAAACAAACATATACACTCTAATTTAGTTAGAAGCTCGTAACGTAATGTTTTTAGTGCAGTTAGCTAGCACTTTTAATGTAACATTTTCAATGTATAACTTAATTGCTTTAATATATGATGTTAAGGATTTTTCGTACAAAAAAAAAAAAACATTTTTACTCTAATCGAGTTATAAGCTCTTAACGTCTTAATCCTTTAAACTCCGCCAGTCCACACGATAGCATGGTTCCATGACTTAAGCTGTTTATCGTGCGCCATGCAATATAAAACAGTGCCAATTAAAATCACTTGATGCTTTACGTATATACATTTTTATATATAGTTTTTTTTTTGTGTTTATAATATATTTAATAAATATTATTGTTGTTTTTTCAATTTACAATTTTGATTTCAACAGTGATTTTGTGTTTTAAGAAATATAACAATTGCAACCTTTTAATTCTTTTTCTACTTAATTTAATTTTATTAATTTCTTAATTTTTGGTTTAATTTTTTTTTCATAATAATATTTAATAAAATTTATTTTTTTTGCGATTAATTACTCTTAGAAAAGTTCAGCATTACAATCAACAATTTAATTTAGTTTCAATAAAAATACATTATTTAAATTTGTAACTCTCATGTAAGCTTTATGTACTCTTTACATATACATAATTAGTCTGACTAAAAATTAATAAATAATTAACTTGTTTACGAATTACAACAACAGTTTGAATGTCGCGAAGTTGTAGTAATGTGGAAGTCAAATCAGTGATAGTAGGAAGCAGCGCCTAGAAATAGAGCTCAAAACAAGCAATAGCCTGCAAAGCCATAGCATTTTTTTACCGCTTAGCACAGTAGACTTTGCAGTTCTTTGATTAAAATGGATCTGTGTCAGTTAGGAGAAGTAAAGTTGCAATGCATGCATCTGCATTTAAAGAGCTGCCATTCTGGCGGCATCTACACATACGATTATGAATGCATATTAGCACGATCTTTAGCACGTCGCTTGGCTAGCATAGACATTTGCACGGGTCCAACGTTTGCGGCCTGTGGTATGGCAATAGCACGGAAAGTAGCATCGACTGCACCTCGTAACGCCATTGTCGCTTCACGTACTGAATTCGTATTCTGCTGTATGCTTCCCGTCATTTGTGCATTTAGAGCATATTCTGTTAACTTAAGTGTAGACATAGACTGCTCTTGGAGCCATGGGTGTTGTAGTATTTGAGACGCTGTCGGTCTATTTTCAGGCACAATATGCAGCATTTGTCGCAATAACTCTTTTACTGGTGGATTAACTAAGGTCCAACGTGTCGTACTAAAATCAATGTGGCCTGAGCCAATACGCTTCAATATCACATCTGGTGAATCATTCGGTGTCGATGCAAAGGGTGTGCGACCCGATAACATTATGTATAGTAAAACTCCTAATGACCATATGTCACATGCTAAGTCATAGCCTTGTCGTTTTAATACTTCGGGCGCTACAAAATTTGCTGTGTAACAAGGCGTCATTAGCAAACCATTATCTGCCCGCAACTGTTTAGCAAATCCTGAGATTAAGAAGGGAATATAATTGATCAATGAACAGACATATTTAGTAGGACTAACAGATTAAAAGTAAAAACCTTGGAGTCTTTTAATTACGGAAAAGAAAGGATAAAACAACAATAAAACATAAATCACAAAAGTTGTTAATTAATTTTTAAATGCCTTAAGAAATGTTGGAAGTATCTTCTAGTATGGAAAATATTGAACTTGTTAACGGTACCACAATGGATAATAGATGTTTCCAAGTAAAAATGTTAACCTAACCTCACCTGTAGATTAATTTATGTTTTCGCGTTTATATTAAAGCGACGCAGTGGCAGGATGTGCTAGAAACTTGTCTAAACCTGTCAGCTACTTAACGAAACAATCGTTAAAAGGTGCTGAATAATTAATTCAAAAGCGTATTATCTACTAGAATATAGTACTACGTTATACATATTCAGTAAGACTTAACTTACACCTAGGTATAATATATAAATTAAATCTGTCTATAACAGAACAGCTAGTTATAATAACATAACTCTTCAACGCTGTGAAATATTGAAGATGCAGGTACTACTAATGCCAGCCAAGATGACTACTCATTATTTATTATATTAATATATATTTTTTCTAAATAATAGGGTATCACAATGGGCCTATAGGCCTAAGTGGATCCCCTTGGGATCGCCGCTATAACCTAACCTAACCTAATATATATTTTTCAAAAAACGCCAAACGTGAGGATTTTGAGTAGTAGTTCTTTTTTTAAATAATCTAATTTAAAAGATTTGCTCACTGAGTAGATATTAACTATAATTTTTCAAATACAAGTCCTCCAAATACTTGGTTTATAAACTAATAAATGAATTACAAGATTTAAAAGAATCAATATTAAAGTAGCTATATTTGATAAGTCAAAAACTATTTAATCAAAATATATGATTTTTCTCACGTATAATATTTGAATATATACAAGTTAAGCTAGGATTTTCACTCTTGAATAATTAATAAAGATGTCTCTATTTAGGACAGAACTGTATGTTTCACTATGAGAGAGAAGGACAGCAGTAAGTAAGTAAGTATGTTTAGTGAACATCTGAAATAGTTATTGTCACTGTAACGAATTGCAACTATTTCCGGATAACGTAAAAATGCTGTTTCGATCTGCAAAAGCACGACTATGAACATAATATCATGTAGTTAATATCTTCAATAGAACTACTTCAATTCTTCTTTATAATAATGTGAGTTAAGCAAGCAAGCAACCCACTTGCTTACTTTAAACAATTATGATGGCGATATCACTAAGTAAGAATATACTGCGCATCCATTTTCTATATTATAGTTTGATATAAAAAAATTGCTCACTGCGGTGATTTCAGTAGCTAATAACTGAAGAACTTTTTGCTCCCAACGGACTCTCAAGGTATAAAAGGAAAATATGTAATTCTTTTAACTAATCGTTCAATCATGAAATATTTAAAAGAAAAAGAAGTATTTCTTCTATTTGAGCATTAACTCTTACCATATTAATTTTTTTAAGATCATTCCAGTACTTACCTAAATCACATAACTTTAAAGTTTCTGGAGTCTGTCTCATACTAGCATATATCATATTTGAAGGTTTTAAATCTCTATGCACAACCCCATGTTCATGCAAGTAAGCCACAGCGGAAACCACAGTACGCAACACAGCACTCGCCTCACTCTCACACATTTGTCCCACAGCCAAAATCCGATCCAACAGTTCACCTCCCTTCAACAGTTCCATAACCAAATAAGCTGACGTTGTGTCCTCGTACACAGAGAACAAAGTCACAATATTCGGATGATTGCCATAGCGTAACAATATCTCAACTTCTTCCCAACAATCCGCCGAAGCGGAGCATGCGACTACTGCTGCTTTTTCAATAATTTTCACAGCAAAATGCTTCTTCGTTGAACGATTCTCACATAAACGGCAAACGGAAAACGTGCCACGCCCCAGTTCCTGCAGTAGATTGTAATCTGCATGAAAGCTACCAGGCAACACACCTGGTAAACTGCGTGGCGTATGCGCTATAGGTAATATAGGCGAGTGGGCACTTGAATTATTTGGTGACAATGTTTGATCCAGCAAAACTGGTGCCACAAAACTGAAACCACGAAATATTTCATGTGCCGATGCAGATATTGGGCCACCAGGTGAATCACGTGGCGATTTAGAAGTGTACTCAACATCGAAATAAAATGCATCGTCCCTCGAAACTGCTGGTATGAATGGCGGCCGCACATCCTTACGTTCCAAACCCAACCAATCAATTGTATCAAAAAAACAATGTGCCTTTATATCCAAGATACCCTGTTCACCAGCACCAAGCCGATTCTGTGGATTGCGTTTAAAAAGTGCACGCAATAATGATTGTGCTTCCGGCGACAGATTTTCGGGCATACCCAACTTGGAGCGTAATATCTGATTCATTGTTTCTTGCCTGGTCTGGCCATGAAACGGTAGGTTACCTGTTAACATTTCATACATAACTACGCCAAAAGACCACCAATCTGCAGCAAAGTCATGTCCTTTACGATTAACTATTTCAGGTGCCATATACTCTACTGTCCCACAAAAACTATACGTTTTGGAACCGTCGAGTGGTTGCTTAGACAGTCCAAAATCTGTTAACGCTATGTGACCATGCTCATCTAGTAGTATATTTTCAGGTTTCAAATCTCTGTATATAATTCCCAAGGTATGTAGATGATTCAGGGCGAGCGCGAGTTCAGCTAAATAGAATTTGACGTCTTCCTCGGTGAACATAACTTCCTTAGAGAGACGTGTGAATAGATCGCCTCCACGTAGGAAATCTAATATCAAATACAATTTGCCAGGAGTTTGAAAGGCATAATGTAACTTTACTATGAAAGCGTGACCTACATCCGCTAAAATTTTACGCTCGTTTGTGCTACGTACTCGGTCCTTGACCTTCAAGGTTGCTTTTTTCAGAACTTTCATGGCGTACAATGTGCCCGCATCTTTACCAACAATTTTGCGCACAAGGAAAACTTTGCCAAAACTACCTTCACCGAGTACACGTAACAATTCAAACTGTGAAGGGTCGGCCTTGTCGTGACCTTCCTTAACGACTTCACGCAACTCAAACTCATTTTCTCTTAAATTGGCATCGCCAACAGCACATGTATAACCTTCTGAATCACTTAACTCCATTAGTTCTGAGGAGTCACCTGGTGTTGGCGATATGTGATGCTGCTCTAGCGCTGCCTGCAGTGCTGTTTGCTGCACTTGCTGCAGTTTTTGTTGTTGGTGATGCTGTTGCTGTCTGCGCTGCGATGACGTCACCGTCGTAACGCCACCCTCTTCATCAGTGGGCGTATGTTCCATTGGAGTAACAGCCAAGCTGCTACATCCAGACGAAGTAATCTGCATACGCTGCGTGCCATTATTATTGTGGGCGCTATTGTTACTGGTTACACCCAGCTGCCGTAAGTCTTTATTCAAATCAGCCAGTGGCATTGCACTGGTCGCTGCTCTAGTAGCGTTTTTAAACGTTTTTGCTGTCTTATTAAGATATGAACAAGAGAAATTTAGAAAATTTCACTCAAATTTTTGGTAATTGGCGTTCACGGAAGTCGCCTATTGGAATTGGAAATTTTGTTTATTTATTGCACAATTTTTTAACAAAGCAACACAATTCTTACATTTTATTGTTATATTATTTACATATCACTGTTAACGCGCAAAACTATTATAAAATTTTATATATTTTTCACATATTTCATGTTTTTCATCAAATTTTTACTCATTTTCTATGCGTACGCGTATGTTAATCAGCAAAAAAAACAGAATGAAAATGACAGTGACAGATAAAAACAAAAACAAGTGAGGCGAATTGAATTCGCCACGACCAAAGTGGCCAGCATTACCAATCAAAAGTAATTAATATAAACTTAAAAAATGCTGCATGCCTTGTTTAAGCTTGTAATTAATTGGATTTTGGTGGGTAAATGGATGAAATATAAAATTTTATATTACTTTTACTTTAAATGGTGTGCTCATAAAGCTCATATAAGCTCTGCTATTGCTTACTTTAATGAATATTTCTACAGTCATGGCTAAAAATGTTATACTTAAAAAATACCGTAAACAAGATATATATATGACATATATATGGTTTATTTTGAAATCTTTCATAAAATCACGAAACATGCTCAAACATATAAAAAGTACGTTTATACTAACACAATTAACTGTACAAATATGTAGAAATAATGTACATTTTCATGAAAAATATACAAAATTTTTACTAAGATATATTGATAAAATTTAACATAATATTAGTGTCTTAAAAATAAATAAAGTTTTTTTTTGTAAAATTAGCAAATAGAAAATAAGCAATTATATTGATCAGTTTAAATAATAATTTACTAATTATTTGTATGCAATAATGGCTATAACTGTTAATAATTTCAAGTGTAAAGAAAAAAGCTGGACATTCTCAATTACTTTAACACGCTTTTGATTTCAGTATGCTTTGTAAACATAGACAGAAAGTACAATATATTATATATTTTGTTCCAACTTGAAAAATGAAAAGCCTATACCTTTAATTTTTTTCCCAGTCTTGAAAAATGGAAAGCCTATAACTTTAGATTTGATCCCAGAGAAACATATGTTAATTAACATATACTTATGTTAATTAAAACCAACATATAAATTGCGGCTGGATTATACTTGAGCTCCAACTCCAATAGTAATTGACGGGCGTATGAAATTTGTTTACGATTTTTACATAATATAATATTAATATCTAACATTGAATGAAAAAATAAAACTTCAAAATAATACAAAACATGGAGGATATTAGATTACCATTAGATATCTCAAATTGAAGAAGAGGGCACCATTGATCTCTAGGGCGCAGTGTTAAATTTAAAAAATCTATTGTGCCGCTTAGTCGGATTAGAGTGTTTCTCCAAGTCCGATTATTTAGTGAAAGACAATATAGAGTCTAACTTTCCAAGTCTAGGACTCTTGTAACCATGAAATCTCCTCCTAGGTGTTTCTTCCGCTTGTGCTTGTGCAAACACATGGTATGCAGTGCTTGGTAATATAAATGTGTCAATAGATAATAGATGGTTACCACAAAAGCGATTTTTACCATTAATAAGCGATGTGTTATTATATACAAAATAAAAATAAAATAAGTATAAGACCCAATTTCATAAGTGAGGTTATGTAAAGTAATAAATAAAATTCTACCTTCTCTTAAATTCAAAAGAAGATGTAAAAATAAAGCGATTAAAAAAATGATTATAGATTTGTAGTGACACTACCAGATTCTCTACAAACAAAGAGTTAACTCTATACAAAATTTCTACTTTGAAGAGACGGCAGAGTTGAACACAAAGATTATTTCTTTAGTAAGCCATCCCTCTACTCAATTGATGATATGGTGAAGTAAATACTTCAGTGGAAATACTAAATACTTCACTACGGGTCTCGGACTTAACACATTCTATGTTTGGAATTGTCTTAATAATAATAATGATTTATTCTTCTACAAAAAACTACAAAGGTACTGGCACTTCCCAAATTACTTCAAGTATTCAGAAGAATTGTGTCCTACATAAAGTTATTTATAAAACTTATGCATAGAAACATTAATACTTAATAAAAATTATAAATAGAAATTAATTAAATATTAAAAATTTTTTTTAAAAAACAGACGCCATTGGTTTCCATTATGCAATAATCTTAATGCTGTACTTACCTTGAACAGATTTGTAGGGCGCAGCGGTAAACCGACACAATGCTAACTACGAAGTGCAAAAAGAGCGTAAAAATCAGTCCACACGCAGCGGAGACTTCACTGTTGGAATTCAAAAGTTCGAACTATAGAAAATATATTCATTTATTATAACACAAATTGTATAAATAACCGAAGACTTACCTCCTCTTCCATACGATTTAAGTCTCTTGAAAGACCAACACCAGAAATGGCCAGCGCCAGGGTGCTTGTCGCTATGCAAACCAAACTCAATGCCAGAAATGCAGTTTGCGTTTTACGCATGCTGACCACGCCCAATGAACCAGTAACCGCAGCTATCAAGCCAGTCCAAATGCCACAACCGGCTGTTGATAGAGCCGCCTCACGCACTATTAGTAGTGAACCCAATGCCACAAGCGAAATGGCCAGTACCAGTTGCAAGCTGCCCAGCACAATTTGCAGCGGAAATGCGGAACAGCAGGCGCTGCTGGGTAATGATTTGCGTGAACGCTTCGATTTGCTGCTGGTCAGCGATGAAGTGCTGCCATCGCCGTCTTTGATTTTGATGAGTTCCGGGGGGAAGCGCTGCTTTTTGCTAATGCGCGAATCGATTGTGTTGGCGCGTGAGGCGACTGCCTCTTGCAGCTGCTTCTGGAACTCTTCATGCGTAATCAACTTTGGTTTCTTCAGATCGTCAACATGTTTAGCATCAGCAGCGACTGTTGCAACCAATGTTGCTGCCGTCAGTTTCAATGGCGGCTTCTGATCATAAACTGGACTCGAGTATATATGATTTTGTGCATCAAAATGTTGCTGCTGTGCCGGCTGTGGCTTGTGTTGCACTTCATCTTCGCTGCTGCTCTGCTGTTGCAGCATCGAGATCTGTGAGTTCGTAAGGCTGTCATGCTGATGCTGTGCATTTGTTGTATTTGTGCTCTGTTCGATTTTCTTCTGCAACATTTCTTCACGATTCAGACTTCGATCGACGATCGTATCCAAGCTGCCCGTGGTGGAATCATGTGAATCGATGGTGCGCGCTGGTGATGCTGACTGTCTGTTTATGTTGCTATTGCTTTCATTACTATTACTACTGTTTTTGTTGTTGATGTTGTTGTTGTTATCTGTCATTTTTAATTTTTTTTTTCTGGTTGGATTTCAGCGCTGCCTGAAGTTGTTAACAACTTTAATGGTGGCTCATTTAAGTTTATCGTTTTCCGGTTGATATTTGCTTCCGTTATTTGTTGGCTGCAATTAAAATTGTGGGCAGATATGTTGAAACACGAATTGCATTAATAAATTGAATATTAAACTTTAATCTTTACTGTTTTATGTCTAAATTTAATTTTCTTTTCAATCGTAAAAAGCAAATACCATAGTTTGCGAGACTGGCTTTGGAATTCATGGTTTATTTCCTAATCATTTTTTTTTTTAAATAGCAAATTTACGAACATTGCAATAAAAAAGAAAATCCTATTTAAGTATTGATATTTATTTCTTAATATAATTGCAAATAAATCTCGTTAATTAGTAACCGAAGTAGTTGAGTAACAAACTGGCTTGAAATTTATTGCTGGTTGCTGGAACTAAATTACCATTAGCACTTAATGTCCAAAACCACAAGTCAACACAAGGGAAACTATTACATTAGATCAAAAGAAAATATTATGGAATTAGCGTCGTTTTTGCGGCACCGAAACTTTGGATTACAGGAAATCCGAATTTTCCTTATAAATAAATACTTTAATTTTGAAGAATTAATGCGATATAAAAGTTTTAAATAATAGGTCGGATATGGACCAAGAGAATACTTATTTAGGTCGTGTGCAAGTTCAAGTAAATTGAGGTAAATTAGCACCTAATTTACCTAATTTTTAACTAAATTAGCCCACTCAAAATTCTGGTAAATACCAACATTTACCGCCATACCGACATAATTTACTATTTCCCTATAATCCATTATTTCCCATTTCCAATTTACTCGAACTCGCACACAGCCGTAAACAGATACTATGAGATTTAAGACACCCTCTATTTCTCTTTATCCTTAATAGACTTTTTTCGTATCTTTTTTTCTAAGGTATTAGAAAAAAGGTATTATTTCTTTTTTTCTAAGGTATTTTTAAGTATAAAGAATAAGTACAAAAGTTTTAGAACACAGATAGGATATAGATCGGTTGTAAGTCACTGCAAGATTTCCAATAGCTTCCTTTATATTATTAACAGATTTTCCAATTTTTTTAAATAAATATCTTAAATTTCAAAAATAAGTTAAATAAATAGTTAAATAAGTTTTATATTATACGATGTAAATCAGTTCAAATACGTACTACAAGAGTTATGAAGGATTCCCCTATTTCTCTTTCTCTTATTTACAGATTATTTCCTAATTTTTTTAAAAAATACCTTAAAATATGTACCAGTAAAATAACTGTTCAAATAGCTGCTGCAAGGTATAAGGTTTCGCCAAGTCCATTTAAATTCAGCAAATTTTTTTTCTATTGTACAGAAGTTTTACAGAAGTACAGAAGTTTTAGGGCACAGATAAGATATATAGCGAACACTATTAAGATTAAGATCACTATTAAGATTTTAACACTTCCTATTGAATGATCCGAATATTTTCTTAAACAACTATTGCAAAAGTTATGGTTTCTCCTACTTCTCTTCACCACTACCTAATTTTTTTTCTGTTATATTTAAGAAACCAAAAATGTATTATTTGTAATTAGCCATAGCAGTACTTTATATCCATAATTCGTACACTTTATTGGTATTTAGTTTTTATCTGATCGTTAAGTTTTATTGTACTGTATTCCAGTTTTTATAAGTTTTTTAATTTTGAAATAATCTGAAATAATATACACTAATTCCGTAAGAGTTTATTTAATTTCAGTTATGTCAATTATAATAACAAAGAGATCTTTATCTAGTGCCTTCAGGTAATTATGAGATCACTAACCATATTTGT